GGTCAGTAAACACTTTATTTTAAATGCTCAACATGGAGCTGGGCATGGAGGAATAAGCTTTTCACTTCAACCCTCAGGAGGCAGAGGCAGGAGGATCTCTGTGACGTCAAGGACAGCGTGGTCTACATAATGAGTTCCAGGACAGCCAGAGCTACAGTGAGAGTCTCTGCACAGAAAAAAAAAATTATTCAACATCTTAGTCATCAGAGTAATGTGGATTAAAAGCTACTTTAAGATTCTGTCTCACCCAGTGACAATGCCCATCATCAAGGGCATAAGGACAGCAAATCCCAGTGTTAGGAAGATGCTGATTCACTACCAGTGGAAGTGGAAAGTCGAACATTTTCTTTGAAAATCAGTCCGGGGGTTGCTCAAAACACAGGACATAGAACCACCCTATGACCCAGCCACACTACTCCTGTACTTAGCCTTCAAGACATTTCTACACCCCCTCTAAGGCTCGAGGAACAAGGCTCAAGAGAGGGCATAAACAATTCAAGAGCTGCAAGATATGCAGGAGTCTGTGAAAGGCCACGTTCCAGGTACTGCAATCATGCACAGGCTTGCACAGGACTTGGCCCTGCCAACACTCAGCCACAGGTGAGTGCTACACTACTGATTGCTGAGCTATGGCAAGCTCTAGGAGGCCTGGAATCGTTGTTTGCTGTTGTAATCACATCCAGTTCCATCTACAGCTGAGCCCAGGAGATCTAGTGGATAGTTTCAAACCCAGGGCCACACAGATGGCCCTTGGTAAACTCAGCGGGTCACAAAACAAATCACACAGTCATGGATGTGGGGAGGAGATAGGCTGCTAGTGAGTGGGAGGGATCAAGACAAGACTGGGGAGCATGACCAGAGTGAATCATGACCAGAGTGAACCATATACGTATGAGTCTGCCAGGGGACAAAGTTAACTTTTCAAAAATCGAGAACGTGAGAAGGAATGAAGTCCAGACTTTAATCTTAAAACCCAGGACCAGTACAATCACTGTGAAACCCAGCACTGGGCAAAGGTCTACAAGCCCAGGCTAACCCCTGTGAACTGAATGGAGCAGCCAGACTGCCTCAGCCTGGCAACCCACAGCTCCTCCCACCTCTTCTCCAGGCTGTGATGCAGCTAGCAGCTAGGATTCTGAGTGTTTTCATCTTAAAGAAACAACCAGCACTCCAGAGGCAAAAGCAGAGTGGGTTCCAGGACAGCCAGGCTACAGAGAAACCCTAAGAAATACAAATGATAGACAAAAATCTATAGACTATATAATCCCAGCACTTGGAAAGAAGAGGCAGGAGAATCGGCATTAAAGGTTATCTTAGGATACATAGCAAGTCCAAGGTCAGTTACACAAGACCCTTTCTCAGCAAGACAAAAACAGGGCTGGGGAAATGGTTCCGAAGTTAAAGAGAATTCATATGGCAGGTAACAAGCCTCTTCAACGCCAACTCCAGGCTCCAGTGCCCTTTATGGCCTCTGTGGGAACTGCACGCACATGATGCACAGACATACATGTAGGCAAAGCACCCACACACAAAAATTAGATAAATAAGTAAATAAGCAGCCAGGTGGCAGTGGTGCACACCTTTAATCCCAGCTCTCATGAAGCAGAGGCTTCGGATTTCTGTGAGTTCGACTCCAGTTCCAAGATAGCCAGAGCTGTTATACAGAGAAACCCTGTCTTGAAAAAAGAAAAAAAAGATAACTTACATTTGGATGACTATATTAATATTACTAATTATATGAGTGGTACTTATTTAAAATCAAAATATTGCTGAGTATGGTGGTACATTTCTTTAATTCCAGCACTCAGAGGCAGAGGCAGGAAGATTTCTGAGTGTTGGAGGCCAGCCTGACTTTTATAGTGACTTCAGGCCAGTCTGGGCTACAACGTAAGATCCTGTCTCAAAAACTAATTTAAGTTTCTACCCCAAATTGGCCTGATTGTTGTTTTCTTAGAAGTGCAAACACAACAAAATAAAGGTCAGAAAGACAGAAGTAGGCCATGACAGGCAGGGTTGACAGAGCTCATCAGATAGCCAAATGGAAGGAAAGGGTTGGAGGTAGAAAGGTCTAAATAGTGAAAGGGGTTGGAAGACGGGGAGGAGGAGTAGAGTTAGAAGCATAAACAACTAGAGATCTATGAAAAAGCAAGGTAAAAGCCTACTATTTTATTAGACATATAATCCAGCCTGGCATGGTGGCTCATGTCTTTAATTCTAGCGCTTAAGAGGCAGAGACAGCGTAGTCTACATAGTGAACTTCAAGACAGCTAGACTACAGAGAGTTCCTGCCCCAGAAGATAGAAAAAGGAAGAAGGGAGGGAGGGAGGATGGGAAGGATGGAGGGAGGGAGTGAGTAGGGGGGAGGGAGGGAGGGGATAGGGGGAGGGAGGGAGGGAAAGAAGAGTGGGAGGGAGATAGCTCAGTGGTTAAGAGCAATTGCTGTCCATCTAGAGTATCTGGGTTCAATTCCCAGCACCCACTTGGGAACTAACTATTGTCTGCCACCTCAATTCCAGGGGATGTGACAATCTCTTCTGACCCCTGGGGGCACCAGGCTTGCATGTGAAACAAACTTGCTGGCAAAACATCCATACACAAAGTTGTTTTGTTTTTAATTTAAAAAAAAAAAAAAAAAAAAAAAACTTCTCAGGTGGTGGTGCACGCCTTTAATCCCATCACACAGGATGCATTAGCAGGGGGATCTCTGTGAGTTCAAGGCCAGCCTGGTCCATGCAGGGTCTCTCAAGTCCCAAGGTCTTTATAATCAAGAATAGCAGACTAAGCAAAGGAAAGAATTGGGCAACTGATACTGCTTTGACCCAAGTTCGAAGACATCCAGGGCTACACAGAGAAAATCTGTCCTAAAAAAAATAACAGAAAACATGAAAGTTGGAGGGGGATTTGTTGAGCATTCCAGTGGAAGACAGAGAGGAGGAATTGGAGTTGTGGTGAGTAATTTTCATTATATAAATGTACGAAACGAACAAAAAAAAAAACTAAGCACAGCAAATACTAGTTCTGGAAAAGTAACTATAGCTGTGGATCTTACTAGCCTTCCCAGAACCACCTAAAATAACAGCAGTCACAGAATATCCTGCATTTAGAAAAGCAAGGTAAAGAAATGAAGTGTTAATGTCCTGAGGTAACTTTGTAGGGTTTCATGAAATCTTATTTTTTTGTGTTATTATTATTATTGTTGTTGTTTAGTTTTATTTGCATTGGTGTTTTTCCGGTATGTCTGTCTGTGGGAGGGTGTCTGGCTTGTTACATTGTTAGCTGCCATGTGGGTACTAGGAATTGAACCCAGGTCCTCCGGAAGAGCAGTCAGTGCTATTAACCTCTGAGCCATCTCTCCAGCCCCATGAATCCTTATTTTAAGGATGAAGAAGCATTCACAAACAGGTTACTTCTAGAGTATGAAGCAGTAATTACGGACACATCAAGCCCACACACTAAACCCACTAGAAAGCTTTTCCATTGCAGCGCCTCCCCCCCACCCACACACACACACACACACAAAACCAGGCTAAGAAATGTGTTACATGGGAGGCAGTTAATGCCCTGAGGTAGTCCTCTCTGGAGTCAAGCTCATGGACTGGCATAATGGAATACAGATCCAAGCTCAGAGATCAATATAAGGAACTATGTATCTAGCCTTCTCATTCACCACTTACATTCATACTCTACTTGTGTTCAGATGTAGAGACACCACCATTGAGGAAACACAGCTCAAGTCACTCAGGTTTAATGACCATTGGTATTACCATAAAGATAGCACTTCTGTTCGTTGAAGTCTGCTCACGCAGAGAATCAGCTCACCTCCACCCATCCAAAACATTGTTGACCAAAGTACCCCAAACTTTTGCAAAACAGATCTCCATAATAAAAATAGCAAAAAGATACATATTAATGGTCCAACATTGGTCTTTTAGGTCCAAAGGTCTTTATAACCAGAAGATCAGACCAAGCAAAGAAAAGAATTGTACACCTGATATTGCTTTGACCCGGGTTTTTCTGAGACCTATCTTTCCTTAAAAAATAGAATTAACCTTTGCCAACACCCACAGGGTGCAAAGTACTTCAGCTGAACATCGCTTTTCCTGTGAGGGTCATAACGGTCTTTTGGAATCTGCAGCAAATTACCCCCTCTTTCCTGTCCTGCAGAAACAAACACAGCTGGGAACAATTAAAGGCGGGAATTTCTTGTATCCAGGGAGCCCCCCCCCCCCAGTTTACTGTCTGAATGCTCTGTAAGAAGCTAGGGTTTCATTTCTTAATACAAGTTCAATGTTGATGGAAAGACAGTAAAGTCATTGACTCACACTCTGGGGCTGACCTTGGGCAGACAGCTTGAGCAAGAGAGGTTTCTTTTTAATCCTGTCCTGGCCCATATCAGATCACTTGGGAAATGTCTGAGGTCACATGGGTGCTCAGCACCCTCTCTAGGATGGTCAGAGTAGTGGGCTCGTTCCTGGAACCAAGGTTCCAAGTTTTGGGATGAACTCACCATTCCACAGCCCTTTGGACAGACCGTTACTATTTCTAACTTCTGGTGTCTTTCTAGCTTGATGTTTATGTCCCCAGAAAAACTAGGACAAAAGTGAACTAGATTCTGACAGACAAGGAATACACACATAGTTGCTGTGTATGCTCCAAAGTCAGATGAGCTCTTCTGGGAGTCACATTTACTCCTAGCTCGGAGCTAGGAGCATAATAAAACATCTTATTCCTAAAGGCTCTCACTGCTTCCCGCTCTTGCGCCTCTTAGCCCCAGCCTCCTCCCGTAGCTCCTTCCACATACACACCCCCAGAAGATCGGTCTCAACACTTGCAGTATCCCTACAGCCCAAGGACAAAGTTACATTAATGGCACTTGGCAGAAAATCCCATCCTACTTGGAACTGCTCTGGGTTCAACACAGTGAAGGAGTGAGTGAGAATTCGAGAGAAGAGATGGTAGAAATCTGAGCCCACCCTTCCCACATAAAAGAGGCACAGAGATTTCAGGAGGTGGGAAAAGGCATCATCTCTTGCCGGAAGGCCACCAGCTCCCAGCACTTGGGAGCCGCATTATCACTTGCTTCTCCTCGGGACTGAAGTGTAAGATAGTCAGGATGGCCGTGAGCGTCTGCTGGCGGCCCAGGCTGTCTGGCAAGGTCAGGAAGCGGTAGATGATGTTTTTGAGATACTCCAGGTTGGCTCCTTCCCGGCTCTGGTCCCTGGTGTTCTTTTCAATGTGGCTCTGAAGGGCCCCAACCTCCTCCCGGTGCCGCTCGCCCTCCTCCAGCAGCCTTTCCTGCAGCTGGTGGGCCTTCACCTCCAGCCCGTGCTTTTGCTTCCTCAGTGAGGTGATCTCCACCTCCTTTCGGGCCAACTGCTCAGCGTAAAGGAAGAAAGTGGGCTCGCTGGCTGCAGCGAGCTGCAGGGCTTGGGTCAGGCTATCGGGGGAAGCTACGTCAGCAGGGTCCCCAAGAGCCCCACCACCCACCCCACCCACAGGGCTCCTGCGCCCCGGCAACCCGGAGGACAGGGCCATGGAGCGCAGCTGCTCCAGCTCCAAGTCCTTCTCAGCAAGCACAGCCAGGGCCCGGTCCCGCTGCTTATGCAGCTCTTCCTCCAGTTTCAGTGTGCGGTCCCTGAAGTCCAGCTGGCTATGTTCCAGCTCCTGCCGATGGTGCTGCTGCAGCCGGGCCAGCTCCTGCTTCCAGTCCTCGGCCTCCTGCTGGCGCTGGCTTTCAAGCTCCTCACAGGACAGCCGCAGGGAGATATACTTCTCCTTCAGCTCAGCCAGCTGTTCCTGGGCAGCCTCCAGCTCCTTCGCCAGGCTCCCATCTTTGGTATTCTTGCTCTTGAGCACGACCTGGGCTCTCATCTTGTAGCGCTCAAACTCTTCCTTCAGCTGCTTCAGCTCCTGTTGGTAGTAGAGCACCGTAGCCTTTTCCCCATCAGCGGCCTCAGAGCTGGGCATTATCTCAGGGTCACAGAGCTTCTCCACATCCAGGGTCACCTGGCTTTTCCTAGCTGCAACCTGCAGTAGCCTCTTGAGCTTCTCCATCTTATCCTTCAAGACATTGATATCCAGATTGGATTCGTCCCCGTGGCTGTCCAGAGAGGACCGGCCAGAGGCTGCCAGGGCCAGTGTTTTGTTCTCCAGGTCCAGCTGCAGAATCCGCTCCTTCAGCTTCTGGATGGCCAGCTGGTCTTTCTGCTTGGCTTTCTCGTAGGTGCCCAGCAGTTCAGACACCTCAGAGATTTGATTCTCCAGGGCTGCCACTCTTTGCTCTTCTACCTGACGCTGCTGGCGAAGCTGGTCCTCCGCAAGGGCTGTCTGCAAAGCAAAGGACAGGTGATAATGCAGCCACAAAAGGCACAAACCCCTACAGTCGCCTGGGTGTGGAGGAGCGAGAGGGATTAGGGTGGCCCGGAACCGGTGGGAACTGGGGTTTTTTTAATTGAAGTTCCCTTGTGTGCTGCTATTTCTATGATAGTTGTCCATTTTTTTTTTTTTTTTTACTGAGCTCAAATACAATGTACATTCCTATTAACCATGCGTTTCCCAGGTCATTTAAAGACCTCGTGTAACATTCTTTCCTATCCCTCTCTACTGAAAGGAAGAAAGGAAACACTATGAAACAGTAGTTTTCTAAAACCTCAGACAAAGGCATTTACTCCCTCCCCCACCCCCAGGGAAAATCCCCTTTGTTTCCTTCAGTCCCTCTACCTATAAACACACACTTCTCAAGACACACAACCTTTCACTACACAGCTGTCATGCACAGCTGGTAAGGCGCCAGCGCCTAGAAGCCTAGATAAGGCTATCTGGCTTGAACCCAAAAAATGCTCGGAAACTCCTCATCCTGTTGCAAGGACAGTACACCAAACAAGATTCCCTAGGACCCACCGGTGGAATTTTCCAGTGGCTGGGAACGTGGAACCCGACTGCAATCCCAGCACTCAGGAGGCCAACAAGCACCAGGCCATCCTTGACTAGAGCAACACCCTGTCTTGGGTGGGGAGAAGAGTGCCTTGCTTCCAGCACTTTGTAGGGAAAAGTAGGCTGATCTCTGAGTTCAAGACCAGACTGGATTACACGGTGAGACCCTCTAAGTTAAAAATAACTGAAGGGTATGAGAATAATTACCTTCCTCATTTCTTGCTGCAGTTGGGCCTGGAAATGGCTTTTAAGATGGACAGCCTCTTGCTGAAGCTCTTGCAGCCTCGGGTCTGGACGGTTCTTTTCATCTCGAACGGCTTGCAGCTCACCTTTCAACTCCTCTACCTCACGGGTCAGCTGCTTGGTCTGCTGTTCAAACCCTTCTATCTGATCAGCCGCATATGCCCGCCCTGCCAGGGCTTCTCTGGTCTCTTCTAACCGAAGTTCCAGGTCCTGGCGCTGGGTCCTTTCCTCCTGCAACAGCTTCTGCAGCTCCCGAAGCATCACGGCATGGTCACTCTGCTCCTGGGCACGATCATGCTGCTGTGTGATGAGTCGGGCTTTGGTTTCTGCTATCTGCTCCTGCAGCCCCTTCAACTCTCCCTCCAGACGGTCCTTCTCTTCCTCTGCCTTTTTACTGGCATCCTCTAGATCTTGCTTCATCTTCTTTTTGTCTGCCAGGTAAGACGCCTCCATACGGGACTTCTCCTGGGTGACTGTAGCCAAGGAGCTAGTCAAAGTAGCCAACTGAGTTTTCAACTGATGTAGTCTTTTGTCCATGTCACTACCCGCAGACGGTCCATCCCCACTGCTACTACTAACGCCACTCTCTGACCCACTGGCCTCTTCGGACTTTGGAGGAAGTGGTCCACGGGCCATTCTGTCATCTTCAACCCCAAACTCACCCTTGATACTCGTAAGGCTCGCTGCAGTATCCAAGCTAGCGGCAGTTCCGGTGCTATCCTCACTGTGAGTGGAGCAACGATCATCCACAGAGTCAGGGAACGTGAGACCTGGAGACTGCACACTTGCAAGGCCTACATCCGCCTCGTGGGACACTGACAGTACTTTGATGCTCGCCTCCAGAGCCTCTTTCTCCTTCAGCAGACTTTTATAGGCCCGGACCACATCCTTGAGCCTTGCCTGGTACTGGAGAAGCTGCTTCTTCTGAGTCTCTATAGTCTCCAGCAGGTCCTTTTTGCTTGGGCCGCCCCCGAAATTCATCCCAAACTTCTCCATGGGGCTTCTGGAGTGGGTTGCTCCACGTCAGTGTTCTGGCAGCCTTGGGCAGAGCCACAAAAACATCTAGAAGCGAAGCAGAGAGGACCGTCTAGCTTCGGGCCGCACACCCAGCTGTCCGGGCGGGTTGAGGGGCCGCGGTGGCCAAAAGCGGGGCCGAGCCAGGCCGAAGGTGGAAGCCGGTTCCAACCTGCAGGCGGGGCAACGCGGGCCGAGCAGAAGCGATCAGCCACGGCTCTCCAATGCTGGCCCAGAAGCCGCTCCGCCCTAGCCGTTCCGCTAAACCCCGAACCCAGGCCCGCCCACCTCGGCCTAGGATCGGCCCAGGGTTTACACTAAGCTCGGATCCATCTCGGTTTCCTAACTCCGGCCGCTGACAGCACCGCTTCCGGGTCCGCTGGAAGTGACGGCAGCAAACGCCACAGACCCCGCCTCCAGGATGCGCGAGGTGGGCGGGGCCTCCACAGCCTGGGTCAGTTGACAGACTGGAGAGGAAGTAACTAGAGGGGATAGTTGGGAAAAGCAAAGTCCGGAACTCGTGAGCAGTGGTTTCGAGATGCCTAATGCCCTCAAACTACCACCAGCGAGCGACAGGGGGCGACGTCGCACTGCGTTTGCCCCAAAATCCCGGGTTGAAAGAAGTATGCAACTATTTGGGGCAATGTCCCATATGTCTCTAAAAAGCAACAAGACTCATACTAGAAAACAAGACCAGCACCTAATTAACAGAAAGCATAATAATTCCCTTCCTAGTTCTGCTTTTAGAGGAGCACTCATATAGCTACAAGGTTCATCTTAAATACCAGCATATGCTAGGGGGCTCACAAGAGTTTTTGCTATTTATTCTGTTCAGAGGATATCATAAACAGCAATTTACACTTGTGGGAACATACAATACAGAGAGGCGACTTATCCAATATCACTCAGCTACTAAGTTTAGGAATCCTATCTCAGTCCACTTCTCAACGTATTAAGTGCTTTCCAGCACCCTGAAGAAACATGGCCTTGCTGCCAAGAAACTTGAAACATGCAAACGAGTAGACCCTGCCCTCACACTAGTGTGTATGGTTATAGTTAAAGTGGTATGAAAAGAGATGGGATGCCTGTCTAGAAGGATGGATATTCTCAGGGAAGACATTTTGGGGTTTGAAGAACAAGTAAAGACTGCCAAAGTAAATTCAAATGTGGGAAACCAAGAAAGGTGGATACGTTTACAAGAATCATTCCTAAACAGCAGCTTAGGGTGTGGGAGGGGCGCAGCTACCGATGAGGCTGGAATCGGGTGGGACCCGGCATTTCGTCTTGGGTGACAACACAGTAAAAGATTTTAATCTCAAGAGGACACCATCGAGACTCTTGTGGGACCTGTAAGATGGCTGAGCAATAAAGGAACTTTCCACCAAGCCCCAAAGACCTGAGCTGAGTTCTATCACACGGCCGAAGAGAACATATCCCCACAGGTTGTCTTCTGACTTCTACACTCCCCCCCCACACACACACACACACTCGAAATAAAAGTGGGGAGCGGCTAAAAACCAAGGCTCCTGTGACATTGTGAAGGCACCAAGGGGGCAGTATTTCTGTCCTAAGAATCTACTCGGGAGGCCAAGGAAGCCGCATCTCTGTGAGCTCGAGATTAGTCTGGTCCACATAGCAAGTCCCGGGCCACCCAAGGCTGGTGACATCGTGGGCACAGTGTCTCAACACAAAAGAGAATGAGCTACTTTGAGAGTCTTTCAAGTGTGTTTTTAGACCCTGCCAGAGCCTTGTTGGGGATGGAAGTCGATGGCTGAAGAATAAAGAATAAAGCAAAATCCTGCAGTAGTCGGAGACCCTGCGAGGTCGTCAGACTTCAGTTCTTCCGCAAACGCGCCTGGGGGCGGGGCCGGGGCGGGGCCCGGAGGGGCGGGGCCACGTGACGTCGGGCGGGCCCGGACGCGCGGAGGCGGCGGCGGCGGCGGCGGCGGCGCCTCCTCCTTCTGCTGTTGCGCCCCATCCCCCCGCGGCCGGCCGGTTCCAGCCCTCACCCCGCGTCCCTGCCCGCGCCCCCGCCCCGGGCCCCACCATGGGCCTCACGGTGTCCGCGCTCTTTTCGCGGATCTTCGGGAAGAAGCAGATGCGGATCCTCATGGGTGAGGCAGACCGAGCGCGCGGCCCGGATGGGGCGCCGGCCCCGCCGCAGCCCTCCCGCCCCCGCGTCCCTCCGGCCCCGCTCACCTGGTACCCCGACCCCGAGACACCCCGCCGCCGAAGCTGTGGGGCTGCGCTCTCGTGCGGGCCACGATCTGCGGTGTCGGCCCCGGGCCTGAAACCCGGAGCTGGGGCCTGGGTGGGGTGACGCTTCCTCCGCCCCAGCCCGGCTGCTAAGAAGGGAGGATTCCGCCCTTGGAAACGACTTTTCAAAGGAACGCGGCCTTCCTCCCGGGCTCCCCACCCCCCGAGCCCCTCTCGCCCCTCTGCCACTTGGGCGACAGGAGTTGGCACTCGCCACCCAGACTGCCCTCCAGGCCCGGAAGGTGGAGAACAGCTCGCACCTGGAGGCTCTCCCGCTCTCCGCCCCCATCACCACCAGCTGGCCAGTCCTCTCCCTTTCCCTGGTCTCTAGGGGGCTCCCTCGCTCCCGTCTCCATTCTGTGCCCCTCTCCGTTGCAGTTGGCTTGGATGCAGCCGGCAAGACTACCATCCTGTACAAACTGAAGTTGGGGGAGATTGTCACCACCATCCCCACCATAGGTGAGTCCGGGAACGAGGCAGAGGTTTGCGGGAAGGTCGCATCGGGCCTTCTCGGGGTCCGCTCCTACTTCTGCTGAGGCCCTTATCTGTTCCTGACCCTGACACCAGATACAGCTACTTGAGAAGTGGGTCACGGTATCTCTACGTGCCTGCTGGTGCCTGAGGCGTGGACCATATCTGTTGACCTCCGGTCCTTCTGGATTCTATTCCCATTGGCCTTGCTCATTGCCTTCTGCGTTTGTGTGCCTGTAGAGATCCCAGTGTTTGTTTCTGGGTGTGTTGGCTTTTGTTTTGGTTTGGTTTGGTTTGGTTTTGAGGGCAGGGTCTCTCTCTCTGTGTAGTCCTGACTGTCCTGGAACTCGCTCTGTAGACCAGGCTGGCCTAACTCAAAAGAGATCCACTTGCCTCTGCCTCCCAAGTGCTGGGATTAAACGTGTGGGCCACCACTGCTTGGCTGATCCGAGTTGTTTTAGTGAGTTCCTTTCAGGACTTTTTTTTTTTTTTTTTTTCTCACTTTCTCTTCAAAAAAATTTCCTGCAGGCTTCAATGTGGAAACAGTGGAATATAAGAACATCTGTTTCACGGTCTGGGATGTCGGAGGCCAGGACAAGATTCGACCTCTGTGGCGACACTACTTCCAGAACACGCAGGTGGAGTGGGGACAGAGGGCAGAGGGTGGTACAGGCCAGGACTGAAGAGTTTGTTGGCTGAGTCCTGGGCCTCACCCTCTCCCCTTTGCTTAGCTACTTTCTAGTCCTCCTTAAGAATTCACCCTCATCTTTTTCTGGGAAGCAGGGTTCTGGCACCACGCTGTGTCCTGTAGCTCTCAAACAGGACATCTTTTTGTTTGCTCCCTTTATCTCTGGGGTGCTTTCTACAGACCCTTAGTAGAAATGTACTGGAGAAAGGCTTGCATAACTAAAGATGTGAGATGTGACAAGAGACCAGATTGGGGCTGGGTGTGTGTGGGAGTGAGCTCACCTAACGCCAACCCTAACCCTTTCTTCCTTTCCACCCAGGGTCTTATCTTCGTGGTAGACAGTAATGACCGAGAGCGGGTCCAGGAATCTGCTGATGAACTGCAGAAGATGGTGAGTGGCCAGATCAGAGACAGTTCTCTGAGGTGGTACAGAAGTCCAGTACTCTGTGGGTGGGGAATGTTAGGGTTTTGTTTGTTTGTTTGTTTTTGTTTTGTGGCACTGGATAAGTTGCTCCTCACCCAGTTTGGACAGGACGTTTTCAATTAAATCCCTTTCTGTCTGAGTCTAAGGAGTTGGGGAGAGAGAGGGGCTTGGGGGTTTTGTTGTTTTGTTCTTTTTTATGTTTTGAATTTTGTCATTTTCGCTTAGAGCAGGCTCTTAAATTCAAAGGTTTTTCTGGAGGTAAAATTCCGGGGCTTTGCGCTCATTTATAGCTGCCTTCTATTCATCAGTAAGCTGCACGGTACACTGTGTAGGGAACCCACTGTCCGCAGGGGACCTAAGATCCTTGCAGCCATATGTCCACCCTCCTCTCTTCTCCCCTCTCAGCTGCAGGAGGATGAGCTTCGGGATGCCGTGCTGCTGGTGTTTGCCAACAAGCAGGACATGCCCAATGCCATGCCTGTGAGCGAGCTGACGGACAAGCTGGGGCTTCAGCACTTGCGTAGCCGCACGGTAAAGCTCTTGTCCCCTTAGCACTGAGTCTGTTCTTTCCTCGGGAGCCCCAGGCTAGACCAAGCTAGAAAGGTAACCCCTGTCTTCCCTGATGCTGATTTACCTCTCTCTCTCTTCCTACAGTGGTATGTCCAGGCCACCTGTGCCACCCAAGGCACAGGGCTGTACGATGGGCTGGACTGGCTGTCCCATGAGCTGTCAAAGCGTTAGCCAGCCAGGGGCAGGCCCCTGCTGCCCGGAAGCTCCCGCGTGCATCCCGGGATGAGCAGACTCCCGGACTCCTCAGGCAGTGCCCTTCCTTCCCACTCTTCCTCCCTCCAGACAGGCCTCTGCTCCTGCTCCTGCCTGCATGTTCTCTCTTGTCGTTGGAGCCTGGAGCCGTGCTCTCTGGGCACAGAGGGCTCTGCTCTCCCGCCTGCTGGGACCTGCGGATGGGCTTCCTGGCCAAGGCCCCCTCTTCCAGGGGAGGAGCAGGGATGTGGATTTGATTTCAGTTTTTTCTGTTTTGGGTGTACCCTTGGGGCCATGTTTGGGGGGAGGAAAGTGAGGGCTCCGGGTGGTGCTATGACATGGAACTGGATATTGAGTAATAAATTTGCTGTGGTTTGTACCCGGTGTTGTCTGTAGCCTGGAAGTTGGAACGCTGAGTTACTGTGGGCACAAAAAGACAATATGGGAGAGGCTTGATGCAGCTGAAGTTGTGATCAACACATGTAAGCCCTCTTCTTCCTCAGCTTCTGCCTGTAGTGTTTCCAGGGGAGGAAATCCACCTTTCTCCACTGAGGACTGTTACTTAGGGGTGTGAGTCCACCATATTCCACCGACCACAAGCCTATGTCCTATCTCTCACCTAGCTACTTATCAGTTCTTCAAGTAGTTCTGTACACAGGGGAGAAACGGGCATTAAAAAGATAGGTCCCAAGACACTCTTAAGAAAAATGATCGATCTGGTCTGAAGCCTTCCCAGCAACATGCATGTTTAAAATTGCCCAGATGATTCTGGCACGGGGCAGCATCTCTTAGCCTACTTTACAGGACACCGGTGGAGACTTTGCTGGGGACCACTGGGACGCTGTATCTGAGGAGACCCCATCTATAATCAGGAAGGACATGTAAATGCCAGGGCTCTGGGCTAGTCTCCAAGCAAAGTTGATTGCCTTTTTCCCTGTGGATCCCACCATTTCTCTATGATGTACCTCTTTTCCTATTTTCAGTTTGTCTAGGCTCTAAGCTGAGGTTTTCTTCCTGAGCTTTGCCGGGAAGTGATCCAGCAGAGCCTTTTGGGGGCGGGGCTGGTATCCTTAACTTTCCCGCATATCTGGCTTTCTGCCCAGCCCTTTCACCTGTAACAGAGTCAGGGTTGGTAAAGCACTGTGCGCCACTTAAGTCACTGTTTGTGAGCCTTTAAAGTTCAAGAGCAATTTCCTCCTCAATGGTTATGTATCCATTACCCTCACCTTCACTGCAGAGTAATTTCCAACACAGCTTGACCTTGTCTTCCCAAGGTCCCTAAAGACAGGATTTTCTTGGCTAACTTGAACTTTTAAAAAAAGAAAGAAAAGGATGGAAGGAAACTTGAGCCACGGAGAACCTAGCAGAGTCCCCTTGTTAGGAGACAACTAGGTTGATTCCTATCTTGTTAATAAGAAAAGGAGGGACTGTCCCAAAGTCACAGGTTGCAGTACTGATTACCAGGTTCGTCCTACCTCATTGCTTGGAGTTGGTCAGAAAGGCATGCCAAAAGCTCTGGACCTACGACCTTTGGCCCATGGATTGGTGCTACTCGGCCAGTGCCCTTTCCCCACTGTGGTGGGATAAGAGGCAGCCTTTACAGTCACAATGCTCCCGGGTCACAGAGGTGCTGGGCCCTAGGCCAGACCTCTGTCTGGGAAGTTTCCTCTGGGAACGGCTTCTGGTGGGTACTACGGGCCTTATTACAGGCCATATGGCCTGTGGGACCTCACCACTGGGGGGAAGCCTGGGCCGGACAGAGTCATCACTTGTGGCATTGGCCCCATGGCTGAGGTGGAGTGGATACACAGACATCCAAAAGCCGAGGACCTAAGGGTTGGGCTCATCAGCTGGGCAGGAACCTACCTCACCTTTGAAGCATATAAGAGTACAATCACAGCTACTGCAAAGAGTTTGGGCAGGAGACAGGTAACAAGGCGAACCTGGACTAGAACCAATTTTCTGAGTGGCAAGTTTGGTGTGTGTGTGTGTGTGTGTGTGTGTGTGTGTGTGTGTGTGTTGCATTTCCATCCTAATCGCTGGCATAGTCTCTGCCAAGACACTCCCACTTAGGCTTTTGTTCATGGGTCTTCATTACTCCACCTTTGAAAATAGTTTCCGTAAGATGAAGTGTCAGTGCTGACCCAGCTGTTTGACCTTCAGTGTTTCCTGCACTCCATCCTAGCAGGGTGGTTGTGTCATCACAAAGAGGCGGGGAGTCCAGGCTGGAAGGCACAAGCAGGCATCTAGAGCAAGCTAGACCCATGTTTCTGCTATCTCAACATCTGTACCTAGAGCCAGAATGCCTTCTGGCTCTTCTATTGGAGAGGTGGATGCAGCAGGCGGAGGTCCTGGGAATTGTGCTAGCCAGGGTCTGCAGAGAGGGTGAAAGAAATAAAGGGAAGTGTATTTTCTTTGAGACATTGAAGGATGGGAGCAAGGGAAAGAGAGGAAGGTTTAACTTCTGTGAGGTAGATACCTAGAATTTCTCATAGGGGTGTGTGTGTGTGTGTGTGTGTGCGTGTGTGCGCGCGCGCGTGTGTGCAGCATACATGTAAGATCAGAGGACAACTTTCTAGAGTCAGTTTTCTCCTTCCACTCTTGAGGTGCTCTCTCTTGGTTTTGCCTACACTGTGTGCTCTAGGATATCTGGCCCATGAGCCTCCAGGAAACTCCTGTCTCGGTCTCCCATCTTGCCACAGGAGTGCTGGGATTGCAGATGCTTGCCACTGAGTCTAGCTTTTTTTTTTTTTTTTAATCATTACATTTTATTTATTCATTTGTGTGTGTGTGCGTGTGTGTGTGTGTGTGTGTGTGTGTTCATGCACATAGATGTACCATGACACACATGTGCAGATAAGAGAACAACTTGCAGGGGTCAGTTCTCTCCTTCCACAAGTGGGATCCAGGGATCAAACTTAGGTCATCAGGCTTGGCAACAAGTACCTCTACCCACTGAGCCATCTTACCAGATGGCATCTATCTAACTTTTTAAATGTGAGTTCTTGAGATAGACCTCAGGCTGTCAGATTTTT